GAGCCCGTCCGGCTGATGCAAGGCGCCCGCCTCCTTGCTGCCATCAACTTGTGGGGGGGGGGAGGCGGGACCAGGTGTGTTGTGTGCCTTGAGAGCCCCGGGAGAGGGGAAGGGAGTCCCTCACAAAGGGAGAGGCTGTTCTTCCGGATTCGTTATCACGGAATAGAGCCAAGCTTTAAAACACGAGGCCGATGCTCTCGCACAGAAACCCGCAAGCGTTGCAGCCGGCCCCGAGGCCTCCTCTGCCGGGGCTCCTGCCTGCCTGCCTGCCTGCTCCTCCCGACTCACCCGGTGCCGCAGGCCACGTCGAGCACCGTCTTGCAGCGCTGGCCCCGCAGCAGCGACACCAGCCAGTTCTTGTACTCGGCCGTGCGGCTCCGCGTGTCGCCGATGTAGAGCTGCCAGACGCGAGCCGCCCGGCCGTCGGCGTACTGGTCCGGCAGCCCCTCGGCCGCCACGCCCAGCGAGCGGGTCCGGTAGATACTGTCCACCATGGCGGGAGAGGAGGAGGAGGAGAAGGCAGCGACCACCACCGCGCGCCTCGGCTGCTGCCGGCGGTTCTGAACAACAGCCTGGCAGGCAGGCAGCCGGTATAGCCCGCGAGGCTCCTGCCCGACGAGGCCCCGCCCCTCCGATCGCAGCTGGCCAATCAAAGAGCGGGACTAGGGACACACCCACCTGCTCGCTCGCCCCGCCCCCACCCAGAGGAGGCGTCTTCCCCTCAGCCCCTGAGGCGCCGCGTCCAAGCGAAAGGAGGCTTCCCGCCCACTTCTTTACCGCTTCCAAGAATGGGCAGCCTCCTGCCTCTGACAGCTGGTAGGCAGGACCTGAACGCGCCCCTCGGCAGCACCCGGTTGTTTTTCCCAACCTGTGTCGAAACGATGGGTTTTCATGGTTGTGTAACTTTTGGAGGTGTCATAAATGCCAAAAAGCAGCAGCCCCTCTTCGTGGGTTTGCGCTACAAAAGAAAAGTAGCGCAAAGAAAAACAGACTGAGGGACTTCCAGCGTTTTATTTCGCCTGAGAAAATGGACTTGTCAACGAAAGCTCACATTAAATTATAGCAGATCGTCTTTAAAGTTTAATTTTTTCCCCGTTTTCTTTCCGTTTTGCCTTTTACTTCAGAGTGTATTTTTCCAGGATCAAATTTCACTTCCTCAGACACATAATAAAATTACATTGAGGGAAACAGATCCTTTGAAGAGAACAGTTGAGAGGGTTGAGGGTGTTTGGCCTGTAAAAAGGGGACTGAAAGGTGATAGGACATGATTATTGCTTGCCTCAAGCCAATTACAATATAATGACAGCTCTCCCTGGGTTTTCTAGGGGTAAAGACTCAAGGAGCTCAACAGTGCCTCCTCCTGTGGATGCTTGGGGGTTGCACACCTGGCCCAAGGGTACCTCAGTAGTGTGCAACCTGTCAACCACACATGTTCCATGTGACCACTGTGGAGATTTACATTCCAGGAGCTCCAACCTACTGAGCTATACCAGCTCATGGTGACATTATGTTAAAGTTATGTTCCAACTTATGGCAACCGTATGAATGTTGTTGTTTAGTCGTTTAGTTGTGTCCGACTCTTTGTGACCCCATGGACCAGAGCATGCCAGGCCCTCCTGTCTTCCAATGGGTCAAATTCATGTTGGCAGCTTCAATGACACTGTCCAACCATCTTGTCATCTGTTGTCCCCTTCTCTTGCCTTCACATTTTCCCAACATCAGGGTCTTTTCCAGGGAGTCCTCTCTTCTCATCAGATGGCCAAAGTATTGGAGTCTCAGTCTCAGGATCTGTCCTTCCAGTGAGCACTCAGGGTTGATTTCCTTTAGAATGGATAAGTTTGTTCTCCTTGCAGTCCAGGGGACTCTCAGGAGCCTCCTCCAGCACCGCAGTTCAAAAGCTGTGAATGAGCAATCTACAAAATGTCCTATCCTGAACAGCCCCCGCTCAGCTTTTCAAAGCTCAAGACAATGGCTTCTTCAACAAGTCAATCCATCTCACGTATGGTCTTCCTCTTTTCCTGTTTCTTTCTACTTTTTCTAGTGGAGTAAAACAATTATAGGATAAAATATATACTTTGCATGGAGAAGGTCTAAAATTTAGTCCTTAATAATTCCATTTAGGGATAGGAAAGAAACTCCTGACCCAAAACCCCAAAAAGCATCTGCAATAAACTTCAAGGAAACTCTTTATTCTCCACTTGGATTAGAGGAGTATACCTACAATCCCTTTCTGATCTGGATCGGGCTGATAGAAGTTGCAGGTTGAAACATTGGAAAAACCAAAGATTTCCTACCCTTTGGTAGACGTTACTGAGCTGAATTAGAAGGAATTTAAAAAGATCAAGTGTAAGGATATGTCACTGTAGAGCAAGACCTATGTACAAGTGTGAAAGCTGGACACTGAAGAAAACTGAAAGGAAGGAAAATGATCCATTTGAAATGTGGTGCTGGAGGAAAGCTTTGCAGATACCCTGTTCTGCAAGAAAAACGAGTAAGTGGGTCCTAGAGTAAATCAAGCCTAATCTGGAGGCAAAAATGATGACTGAGGCTGTACTCAAGGTACATAATGAGACCGCAAGATTTCCTGGAAAAGACAATAATGGCAGGAAAGGTCGAAAGTACAGTAGTAGGAAAAGAAGTCCAGAAATGTGATGGTTTGACTCCCTAAAGGGTGCTATGGCTTTCAGTGTGCAGTAGCTTAGCAAAGCTGTTGCAGACAGGGAATTTTGGAGATCACTCATTCATGGGGTCCACATACGTCAGAAGCAACAGCATGTAACAACTGATCAACATTGTGGCTTCTGCTGCCCCAGTCCCATTTTTATTTATATGGCATTTTGTACTTGTCATAAGCAGTAGTACTATTTGCCTCTCTTATTTTCACTTTCCTTTCCTGCCATTGGTATTGTTTTCTGTTTTTAGCAGCATGCTTTGTTTCTTTTCAGCAACTTGGGTTCTCGGAAGGAAACGGCTGTCAAACTGGAATTCGAACCACTGACCAGAAAGATGAAGGAGGGGCACTGAATTACAAGAATACAGATTAAAATTCAACACAAAAAACTAATAGGTGATCTCAGAGCAGCAAGTTAATCAGGAAATTAGCTGAGAAAAAAGTTTATGTCAAACTGATTAAAACCAAGAGTTAGAAAAACACTTGTCAAGCCAGGCATCAGGACTTTGGGTAAATTAAAACGCATGTAAGTCATTTAACTTAATATATTCGCGAAGGCTTTCACGGCCGGGATCTAATGGTTGTTCTGGGTTTTTCGGGCTCTTTGGCCATGTTCTGAAGGTTGTTCTTCCTGACGTTTCACCAGTCTCTGTGGCCGGCATCTTCAGAGGACAGCAACTTAATTTAATCTAAATCTCATCTTTCCCCAGTGCTTGTTAGGATTTGTGTCCAAATTTCATTTTTAAAAATTGCTTATTTCTTATAAAGAAATCTTAAGAAATCCATAAATGCATGTAGAAATCCACTTCCATGTTGGAGCTTCCTTTCTAGAACTGTTTTTGTGTGTGTTTAAAGCTAACCAATAGCCTAACTTATGACTGGAGCTTCTGAGTTTAGAAAATGCCTTCCACTGGGAAGTGCCACAGCACTAAATTCTGTACCCCAAACAAATTGATAAAAAAGTAAATCATGCCTCTGTTGTTGTGCTGTTGAGTTGCTTCCAACTTACAGTGACCGCAGTATGATTTTCAGAATATCTGAAATCTTCAAGAAGTGGTTTACTATGGTCTCCCCACTACAATGACTGTTCATGGCTGAGGATTTGAATCCAGATTTCATGAGTCCTAGTCTGACACTATATCCATTATCCCACACTAACTCTCTGTAATGAACTGATGGATAGCTTAGGGGTTTAGGTATTTAGCTACGGAGCCAGCGGTTGAGAGTTCAATCCACGACAGTGCCTCTTTGACATAAGCTGGACTCAGTGCTGCAGATGATCTTTTCCACCTTGCAATTCTAAGATTATTATTATTTTATGCTGGCCACAAGACTGGTGAAACGTCAGAAAGAACAACCTTCAGACCATGGCCAAAGAGCCCGAAAAATCCACAACAGCCTTCGCAAATACATTATTATCATTACAAAAATTAAAGTAAAAATAAAAATGTTAAAAAAGCAGTCTCTGGACAAAAAAAACTATAGAAACTCGTGGATTTTGTCACTGTAGGAATAAACCTTACATTGTGTGGATGGCAGTAAAAATACCAGTGACACCAGTTATGATAGCACTTTTCAGTACTTAAAAGGTAGTCATACAGAGGAGAGGCAGGATCTGTTTTCAATTATCCCAGAGTGCAGGACACGCAACAATGGGCTCAAGATAACAGGAACCCAGATTATGGCTGAATATCAGGAAAATGTCCTGTTAGAGAACACTGGAACCAATCACCTCAGGAGGTGGTGAGTGTGCCAGCGCTGGAGGCATTCAAGAGAAATTTGGACAACCATCTGTCAGATCTGCTTTGATTTGGATTCCTGAATTGAGTAGGAGGTTGGACTTGATGGCCTTATAGTCCCTTTCCAGTTCCATTATTCTATGATTCTATGAATCAGGTACATCACAGAGAACAAATGCTTCAAATAGAAGAAACCTTATATGATAATTTCTACTGCTAAGGATGGAGCCAAGCTCAGATGGCTTTCTCCATCAGTGACTGCGCAAAATGGGTGTCCTCCTGATGTTTTAGACTAGAGCTTCCTGCATTCTTGATCTTTGGCTATGCTCTGTGCAACTGATGGGAGGTGAAGTCCAACATATTTGAAGTCACCTGGCTGAGGAAGGATGATCTGTGGGGGGAACAATCCAGCCAGCTGGAATTGTTGTCAAGAATTATATTAAGAAACTACTGTTTTGCTTGACCTGGGAACAACTTTGTTTTAGCATCAAATATGCCAAAATAGTGAACTGCCATGTGTAGAAACCCTACCCCTGGCAATGCCTTTAAAAGGTGTCTATTCAGAAATACATAAGTTATACAAGACACAACGTGACCAAACAACTCACTGCAACTACACAGAATCATTAATAAGACCACTGAGTCTATATTTGCTTTGGGCACCAAAGACAACCACCTTGTTCCTGCTGCTTCTTTTCCAAGCATCAACCTTTGTTCTTTTGGCATCAATTATTTAGATTGGTTTAATATTTAAATGCAGAGTTTTGGAGTGAAGGGGAAGCAACACAAAGAAATTAAAGGCCACATTATGTAAGACATCACCAAATCCATCCCTACAGAAATAAGAGGGATGCTGATTTGAAATGAAACAGGATAGACATTTGTCACAAAACACAGCAACCACCTTCAAAGCAAGCACTCCGACTGGCTATCATCAGGACCCCACTAAGCGCTGACAGTGAGGGAAAGATTTATTGTTATGATGGAAGTGGACAGCTGTTGGGGAGGGTTTCTGTGAGACAGAACTCCGTTTTCATGTACAGAAGATCCATCAAAAACTATCCTAGAAATCCCGAGCTCCTCTGATTTTGGAAGGTAAGCAGGATTATGCCTGGTCTGTACTTGAATATTACACCACCAATGGATACTGTGTTGGGGAAAAGCTATAGTGGTAACACATTGTTCCTGGTTCAATTACAGGCCTCTTTGGCTAGGGTTAGGAAAGAATCATGTGTGCTACTCTGGTGAGCTGCTCCCTGTCAGAGTTGACAATACTGCTCTAGAAGAACCGAGAGTGTGGTTCAGTGATTGAAATCCTGTTGCACAGTCACACAAACGGTGTACCTTCTAGACGTGACTTGCCTGCCGTAAATTAAGAAATCTTCATAGGCAATCTCCATTGGCTGTTGCATGCCAAGTTGTGCAACTCAGTATGCAACAGATAATGCCTACAGATTTTTTTTAACTTATGCGATTTGCTTCCAAAAGTTAAGCCATTTGTGTAACTGAGCAGCAAGATTTCAGCACTATCTGGCAGCTTCTGAAGGCTTCCACTCCTGATAGGCAATGTAGCAAAGACAAACAAATAAACCTAACTTGATACGAAGAAGCTCTTGCTAGAGAACATCACAAATTTTACAGCTCTTGAAAAATCCTCTGAATACATTTCCACATTGCTTTTAGTTTGGCTGAAAGTATCTGAAAGGAATACATACACAATCCTAACTTCCTTGAAGCTTACTTTGGACTGTACTTTCAGACAAGGATGACAAACACACACCTTTGCATCAGCCAAGTAACTAAAAAAGCTTGCTGGCTGATTTAGGGAATTACAGTGCCATCTCAAACTTTTTACAAGATATGCTCAGAATAACATGCCATGTTATGCCATGCCAACACAACGGGTTAGTGTTGCTCTGCACTGGTCCTTCTGCTGACATTTTCAGCTATGTGCAAAGAGGCATGGGGAACTCCAGAGCACCAGATAGTAGGAGGACCCATAGACTAACCAAGCAGAAGGCACAGCTGGTACATTATCTATCTCAGAGTGGAACCTTAGTCACTTTCCCATTTTGCTATACAAGGCATTGTGAGGAACCCGCATGTAGTTAGTGAAGTCAGCAATTTCAATAGAACAATGTGCAATTCATGAGTAAACTGGTCATGATGGGGAGGGTTGTTTGTTCAAATGCAGGAACAGTTCAAGAAGGGAATGTCAAATATGACGTAGTGCATATATAATTGGCATGGGACCCGGAAGAACCAGGTTCCTATTCCCACTCAGCCATGGAACTCAATGAGTGACCTCGGGCTAGTCACTTTCTTTCAGCCTGACTTGTTCACAGGCCTGTTGTGACAATAAAGTGGAGAGCAGGACAGCTCAATAATGGAAGCCAGGGGATATAAATGTAACTAATAATAAGTAACCTACTGTCTCTAGACTGAAGATGAGAAGTAAAAGCAAAACACAAAGCAATTGGTTATGTAGCGCCCCATGGTGCTCTGGGCAGTTTACAGCTTAATAATGCAGACTACACATTGTACCCCGCCTCCAGAAAGCTGGGTACTCAATTTACCAACCTTGGAGGGATGGAAGGCCGAGTCAACCTTGAGCCAGCTACCTTAACCCAATGGAACTGAGCTCAGGGTGCAAGCAGAGGCTTCACTGCAGTTTAAGCAGTTGGACGAATCTTCTAGAGCAGTGGTCCCCAACCTTTTTGACACCACGGACCAGTTGGAGGACACAGGATCTGTGCACGGTACCCCCTGTGCTCACGCACATGCACAAAGTGGTGGTGCTTGTTTGTACGTGCACTCTCACACATACACGAAGAGGCAGGGGGCACTTGCGCGACAGTTGCAAACATGCATGAAGAGGCAAAGGGCGTTTGCGCAGCACGTGCATGTGTAAAGAGGTGGGGGCGCTCACGTGGCATGTGCACAAACACGTGCATGTGCGAAGGGGCTGTGCAGGGGAGCGTGCGGGGTGAGTACGTGTGGGGGGAGAAGATGATCTGTGTCCGCAGCTCCGTCCGGCCAAGGCCCGGCACCGGGCCGCAGACCAGGGGTTGGGGACCCCTGTTCTAGAGTGAAAGACAGAGTGAGGTAGATGTTGCAAAATAAATTAACAAGACTTTTGTATAGATTTGTTGTTGGGGGTTTTTTGTAAGTAGCAGGTGGCCTTCAACTTGGCGGCTAAATGAAAGACAGTCTCAAATCCTCAACTGGAATTGTCAGCAAAATATAAGGTAGTTCTTTTTTTAGGCGTATGACATGAATTTCATGCCATGTTTGTACCAGTTATCTTGGTATCAGTCCTTCAGCAGTTCTGAATCAATGGTCAACATCCAAAAACCTGACTAACTAGCAGAGAACACCAATGGATGCCATAAGACTCTGTGGTATTTCATGGTCAAAATAAAATGGCAATCAGCTTTACCAGTCCAAAGAATGTGATTTTAGGCCACATCAGTTTTAGTCCTTTGGAGTTACCTTCCTTCAATATGTTAATTTGGCCCAATGGCCCAAATCCAACCAGTGAGAGGCAGATTCGGATAGAGTAATGGGAGAAGAAAAGTAACTGCCTTAAAGCTACAACCTTCCATTAAGCCAGTAAGAACATTTATTTATTTATTTATTTATTTATTTAATATGCTGCCTTTCTCCCGATGAGAGGACCCAAGGCAACTCACAATATTAAAAGAAACAGAATTAAAAACATAATTAAATATTAAGAAGCAATCAAACTATACACTAATTAAAATAAATTGAATAATTAAAACCAAGTAAACATTAAAACCTATCTGACTCTAAGAAGGCATTCAGGGTTTCAATCATGACTGTTAAAAGCCTGCCTTGAAGAGACGGGTCTTTAAATGTTAGTGGTAGGATAAAAGGGAGGGGGCCAGCCTGATCCTCATCATTCTTAGAACCCATCTACCATTGGGGACAAGTGAGCCTCGAGACTATTTCTGGAAAAGGGGATGCAAGCCTTTTGTCCCAAACCATGCACTACAATCCCAGGTTTAAAGACCATCTAGACCTGGCATTTCCTTCCTGGATCAGCCAATGCAAGGCTAGTTGAGTCTACTCAGTTAATCATAAACTTTGGTTCAGTCTACCCAATCTTGCAATTGTCAAATACTGATCATTATTCCAAGGACCAATTGGGATAATTGTGAAGGGTTAAGGAATCTTTGGCCCTCAGTATGATTTGACATACAATCCTTCATCATTGGCCATGTTGGGTAGAGATGGTTCAAACTGTATTCTAAAATATCTCAAGAACCAATGGTTCAACAGCCCTGTTACACAGTTTTATTTGGCTAACCTTGGTCTAAATTAAACGGCCAACCTGTGATTCTCCAGAACTTACGATTTCAGTTTCCACCAATCACAGCTAATTTGTCAGCAGGTGTAGGAACTGTAGGTCAACAACCTTCTGGGTCACAGACCCACAACTCACGGTTTACTGAACTGCCTGCAGTTAAATATAGCATGCCAATGGCTTTTTTTAAACACTTGAGAGCAACCCCTTTGCTTGATAAGAACCTTCCAAACAGTTTAGTTTTTAGACTAGAGACAGGAGGCATGTGGCTTTTTTGCATGCTGTTGGGTTATAACTCCCACTGGTCCTAGCTAGCATAGCACCTACTAAGGGATGCTGGTAAGTGGAGTCAACAACATCTGAAGGGTTATTGGCTACCATTTCATGCTGTTGCAGCAGTTCTCTATTAAAAATACCATATCCCAGTACCATTGTTACTGTCTTTACCGACATGCTTAAGAGGAGGGACTATACACTCCTTTCTCCCTTTCTTCTCTGAAAGAGGAACATATCTGAAGAGGACAAGCTCCTGATTGTGTGTAGCCTTGACAGATGAGGAAGATTGATGGGGGGAAAAATAATCAGATTCTTGCTTGAGCATGCAACGTATGTAGACACATCACTGTCTATGTGGAGAAAGTAACAACGCAGAGGGAAGAGGCTAATCTAGCCATGTTGATAACAGCTAGGTAGCCCATGATGCATAAGGTTTCATCTAAGCTACACACTTCTCTCAGAAAAGTCATAAACCTTTGCTGTGGATCAGAAATACTGGTGCTGATGAGCAATAAAGTTGGTGGAATGGCTCCTACATCATCTGATGCTACTCAGTTCATTATTTGCCCTTAGAGAGGCTTTGTGTGGCTTCCTTTCAATACAATGAGAACATGGAAAAACTATGGTTTTGGACTACCCCTGCCCTATTTCCCCAGCCAGAATGGCTACTGGATGGGAGATTCAGGGACTTCTATTCCAGGAAACGCAACTTTCCCAGGCATTGAACAAAAGTAAGCAGTAAAATCCCATGAAGCCACAGTATGATACAAGTGAGTGGATAATGTCAAGCATCATAAATTATCCATGTGCATGCAAAAACAGGAAGCCACTGCAGGGGCTTAAAAGAAGCACAAATTATGCAAAAAATATTTATTTACACACTTTGCAGGACTTTAGGAAATGAGAAGCATATTCTCTGCAGCAAGGGAGGACAAGTGGTGGGTGGGAGGAAAGCATCACAAACACCTGCAAATACTCTCCAGACTAGAGCTGCTAAAGGACCTGATTCCTTAAGGTGAGAAGGGGAAAAGGCAAAAGGAATTTAACAAAACAAAGCAGCGAAACGAGAGTGCCTTTAATTCCGCTGGGAGAACCCTCATCTCCACTTCCCTCCAAGCAAACTCAATGATCTAAAACATGATCTACAACATGATAGCTATGAAAAGCAGAACTAGACCACCCACCTTCCAAAGTGACTTACAGAAATGTCCCTTATGTAGCCCACTGGGCTGATTATTAAGATGCTTGTCCTAGTCATGGGTCTGAAAAGTGAGCTTGCAGTGAGTTTCAATCTTGCTGTCTTGCATCTTCCTCCTATCCTCCTCCAGTTGTTTTTGGAAGGTCGAAGCAGAGAAGGAAAGGAGGAAATCAACATGGGCGGCAGCCTCAGGTTTTGAAGGCAAGCCATCCCAGCTGAGGCACGCGGGCCCTCACCTTCTCTCCTTTCTGGCCGACTGCTTCTCCAAGTGTGAAAGGGACCATCTGGGTTTCACCCACTCCGCCCCGGGGCAAGGTTGAATTAACACTGGATAGCTGAAGTTCACATAACCGCAGAGCGTTGCCCTGCAGGGGCAGACTTGCACATTCCTCCGGGAAGTGAGAATCGCCATCTTGTAACTCCAATGAGCTAAAGCAGGTCTCTGTGGCCTGAAGGCAAGCTTGCAAGCCCACACGAGGGAAGGGTTGGCAACCTACAGCTCATCGGTGCTGTGCAACAGTGGCTCTAGCTTCTGAACAGCCTCTTCTTTCTCCTCGACTGCTGCAGGTGCGTCCTCCACGCTTGCCTTGACAGTCTCTCTTTCCTGCTTGTCCTTGTCTTCGTGACTCTTTTTCTTTTTGGCAGTCTTTTTGCCTTTGCCCTCCTTTTTCTTTCCTTTCTTCTGTCCCGAACTTGCCAAATCCCCCTTCTTGCCACTCCACTGCTCTGTTAGACAGCCTGGAAAGATAAGAGGGGGATTGGGAGAAAGGTCATGAGATCTGAAAGAACACGGCAGTCCAAAAGACCATATCCTTCCATCCCAACTTGGCCCGCTTTGAGGTCTGTTGGAGACCCTTCTCACAATCCTACCACCTTCAGCGGCTTGTTTGGTGGGGATGCGAGAGAAGGTCTTCTTGGAGGCTGTGTCCAGACTCTTGAACTCCTTGTCAAGAGAGAGCAGGTTTCCCCCTCCTGGCTATCTTTCTGGCAGCAGGCAAATATGTGTTTATTCAAGCAGGCCTTTAAAAGTTAAGCATATCCAATGTGCTGGTTCTTTTTTCAAAGGAAAACTACCGATAGTGTTATATTTTAAAACCAAATTTACAGTGTTTTAATTTTAATTTTACTACTGTAATGAATTTAATCCTAATTTAATGTTCATAATTTCAGTGTCATTTGATTTTTTTTAAGCTGCTTTGTAAACCACCTTGAGTCCCAATGCTGGAAGAAAGGCAGAATGTATAAACTAAATGAACAGAATGGAAATCATCAGGCCTCCACTCTCCATTCTGTGTGAGAGTTTGGAAAAGTTATATTTGGGGGCCATAATTCTCTGAGCAGGCAGGCAGAGTCAAAAACCTCACTTTTCCAAAGTGTGTCCTGTTCTCCCTTCAGACCTCCACTGCTACTCTTCTTCCCCTGACTTAGTGAGCTGAATTTCCAAGCTTGTTAAGATAGGATCCCTTTCAGCTCTGCAGTTCAAAGGTGATGATGACGACGACCAGGAAGGTCTGACTTCAGAATCTTGCTCAGCCATGTGCCTTACAGGCACAGGCAGAGTCTAATCAATCACAACTTCTCTGCTTTAAGATAGCTGTGAGATCAAAAAACGACGAAGAAACGCATATGCCATCTTGACTGACTCAAGGCAGACTTCAGGCAGAAACAGTGTTTGAACGTAAGAAGAGGCCTGTGAAATGAGACACGAGGCTTACTGAGCTCAATACACTTGTTTCTCACAGAAGTCAACCCCATACTCCCTGGGAAGCCCTCAGGAAGGACATAAGGGCAACAACGGTCTCTCAGTGTTCTTCCCTAGCAGCTGGGACTGAGAGTGGCCTGAGATCTCTAATGCTGGGGGCGCAAGATTGCCATAATGACTGCTACCCTTTGACAGTATAACCGTCCATGAATCTGTATCATCCCTTTTTGGCGATCATCAAGCTATCCTGTGTTGGTAACCTCCACAATTCATCTATGATATGATGATGTGGCCTAGAGCAGCAGTCCCCAACCTTTTTGGGACCACGGACTGGTTGGGGGTGTGCGAGCTCTGTGTGAGGGGGCACCCCTACGCTTGCAGGTGGGAATGTCATTCTCGTGGGTGGGCGTGTCATGCTCACGAATGTGCGCCAGTGCAACCCACCCACCATGCAGGGGGCGGGGGGGCAGAGATTCATCTCCACAGCCCAGTTCCAGGAAGCCCACGGACTGGCACTGGGTTGCGGACCAAGGGTTGGGGACCCCTGGCCTAGAAGTTACTGCTTAGTTTCACTCACGTGTCAAGCCTCACTTCAGAAGAGGTAAGGAGGAAAAGGAGGGATGTCTCCTCCTCCTCCTTTAAGGGGGTAGCAGCCATTTAGTTGTCATTTTTTCAATTGTTTCTAACCTGTTGCCTGCTGAGCTACTGGGAGGAAAACTTTTCATACGATTGCTTACGGTAGTTTTTTATATGCAACTTCTCAAACTTTTCTCGCTTGCTAGAGAGACTGTCTCGTCTCTTCTCATTCATTCTCACGCTCTAGAAGCCATGCTCCCCAGAGTTCTCTGGGGATCCCTGTCTTCTGTTTAAAAGCTAATTAGGATATAAATCAATGCAGCCCAGTTTCAAAAACCTTCTGCATGCAGTTGGTTCAGACAACTAGCAAGGGATAAATCATTCAATCCCCTGCTTGGGGGGGGGGAGGGAAGAAAGAGAAAGCGTATGTCAGAGAAAAAGAATCTGCCTCAATCAGTTTTTCCTCTGCCCCAACTCCGACCACCCTTGAAGAATTATTCCCAAAGGAATGAGCCTCTAACTTCACCCCTACCTCCCCCCAACCCATACCCCATTTCCCCCCATATTCTTGGATCCTAGTCATCACGGCTGTTTGCTTCACCGAAACAAAAACTCACTGGTGTCTTTTCCTTTTAAGACATGATTTGCACACAGAAATTGGGAAATATCCTCTTCCTGATAGTTTCTGTACCAATCTTCAATCACGTCTTCATATTCTTCCACCATTATCTCACACTACCAAAGAGAGAAAAAGAGAACTCTGTCAACAGAATTCTTCCTTCAAGTTACAATTTAAAGGAAACATATATTTAAAGTTAGATCCCCCACTGCCTCCCACAAGACCTGCGGTATTTCCAAACAAACAAATTCTCCCAAGGCAAAAATCTAACGTTATGCAAGCTGATTTTTGCTTGGCCAAAGGGGATTTCCTCTCCTCCCCTTCCTCCTGCAGATAACTATCAAAATCTGCTCTAAAAGGTCCTCTAGTTGTCTACAGCAGATACTGAAGGTGTGTGGGTTTGAAGAGGTGAGAGGCAATCCTCTTCTGGTTCTGCTGATGGAAGGCAGTCAGTCCATCAGCAGGAAGGGTTAACCAATAAGATACAACCATGTATGTTATTGACTTGTAAATGCCTATGACTTCACACCTTGTACCACAATGAAGAACAAACTCTGCTCACAGCCTTACAAACTGAAAAAAGGGAAGAGCCACAAAGTATTTAGCCTTTCAACATTTTCAAAATGTTAAATAAGCATATATATTTTTGTTACGCTTAGGAGGAAAACGCATGCCAATATCTGGGGAGATCTCAGAAGCCAGCACGGTGTCACTCCAGCTTAATAAAGGGGGCAGAATTCAAAGTGCTAGCTTATATTTATGTATTTATTGACAAATCATCACCCACAGTAGCAATTTGCTAGATGGGTGATATAAAAATTGAATCAATCAATCATATGCATATGGTGCACCATAGTTGTTCTGCAGATGGTTTACCACAGGTATGAACAAAAACAATGTAAATATTTCAGAGTGCTGAAATAACATATTATTGGTACTGAAAGTGCCCATGCCAAGGGAGGCTAGAAATCTAGCATTTTTAGCCCTGGTCCTCTTATTAGGGAACAAGCGACCTTTGACAGTTCGCTAAGCACCATCCCTCCTGACCGTCAGAAAGGTTTTTAAAACGGAACTTTTCAGGATGGTATTTAATGGTCTCACACTTTTTTTAAAAAAAACATGAGTGCTGCTAAAACATTCACAATGTTATTCTAGGTTTAGGTAATTCGGCTGTTAGACTAGGGCTTTAACTATAATTCCACTGTCTTCCTTTCAGCAGAGAAGATGATGCCTTTTGTAACTTTATTACTATGTCTGTCTATTTGTTGCTGATTAATACGTCAAATTGTAAAAATTTGGTTGTTGCAGTCTGCAATTTCAAAATCCTGGCTGTTTGTATAGTGACCAGAGAATGCCTACTCGCTACGAAGCAGTTTAATTAATTAATTTTAAAAATTAACTTCTAAAGATCAGAAATGGGCAAAGTGAACCACCCTGAAACCTATGTGTAGCTCTTTAGTATCTCTGCTTCCTTTATCTTCAATTTCTTAAAATTAAAAAAAAATGTGCAAAGGATTCCCTTTTCCCTCGGGCTTTTTTTTTGGGCTAGGTTCTATACACTGCAGAAGCCCAATCCTTACTCATTTGTAAAGGGTTTTCCACATGCGCACAAACACACGCACCACTTACAGAGGACATAAGAAGGCTTTTTCGATAAAACAATTTTAAAGAAAAGAATTTCGGAAGAATGGAGGTGCAGCAGGAACTGTTGCTTCCAAACCTTTGAAAGCCATTCGTTCTGCTCTAGAGCTAGAATATCTAAGGGACTGCCTTCTCCTACAGAAGCCTCTCTCCTCATGTAAAGCATCTTCTCCAGCACAGAAGAGTATCTACTTCCACATATTCACCTGCTTGCAGTTGGCAGCTGCACATTACAGAGGCTCAGCCACAATGCAACCCAAGCAAACTCCTGACTCCCTACAAAATGGAGACTAAATACTTCTCATGGAGGAGGAAGAAGCAATTACTCCATAGAGGGAACCGAAAGATTACTCGCTTGACCGAGGCAAGGCTAAAACAACATTTCTTTAGGGTACCTTATAAGAATACTTTCTTTTCATGATGAAATCCCATGTTTCTAATGGGCCTCTGTTTAGCTAATGCAGGAAGAGAAGGACGGATGAGAGGTTTAACCCAGCAGGGCTCTTTTTGTTCATAAAACTGTATCTCCTCTTAAAGTTCTTCAGACCAGATCTAGTTCTGTTTGTATCATCAAGTTTGCTGCATCACAGATCTATCAAAGTGGTTCCCAACCTTGGGTCCTCAGATGTTCTTGGACTACAACTTCCAGAAATCCTGACCAGCACAGCTTAGTGGTAAAAGCATCTGAGAGTTTTAGACTAAGAACATCTGGGGGGCATTGCATATAGATCGTGGACTGGAAAACTGGTTGACAGGTCAGTTACTTCAATCCCTAGATGCTGACAATTTATCAAGTCACCTATTCGAAAGGAAAGCTCTGTAATATCCTCTGTTGTGCCTAGATGTTACTGGATTTCAATTCCCAGAAGTCCCAGCCAGCATAGTAATTGGTAAGAGATTCTGAGAATCATTGATGAACATCTGGAGACCCACCAGTTTGAGAACCACTGCTCCAGAAGATCAACCAGGGGCTTCAGTTGTTCAAAACTGCTGTAGAAACATCAAGCACTGGCTTCAGTGCTAGAGCCATAAAGTTCATCCAAGCACAATACCTGTTTCTTAAGATCAGACACTTCGGCAGAAGTTTCATTCCACAGTTCATAAGGAATGTCCATCACCACTTTGACTCCTTTCTGCACCAAATTATGGAGTGTTTCAAATGTCTCAGACATGCCCTGAAGTGACAAGACAATGTAGTCAAAGGTTATCTTCGGGAAGAACAACACAAAGAAAATGAACATGAGTTGGTAATGCCAAATATACGATCGCTCCTTCGAGAGAAGGGAAGCTCAACACAACCTAGAAGGGCTGACAGATCATCATTCCATGCAAACTCTTCTTTCTTTCAAGACTGCCAAGATGCAGGGGTGCCGACTGTACACATAGGAACAGATTGTTACAAAGAAACAAAGTATAAAATGACGCTCCACTGAATTCAGTGCTGACTATACGCCCAGGTGAAAGCCAACTGCCATGCTTTGACTACAAAGATTTGGACTGACAAGCAATCTTCCTTATCAATGGTCTTGATGCACTGTGACCTCCAATCAGAACCAGGATAAAAGAAGTTGCGTAGATAGTCCTGCTGTAGCCAGCAGATGGGAAACTTGCTCCCTTCTATACTTAACAAATGTAATTGCTTGCTATGTTTGTGTGCTGCCCTTCCTTCAATGATCTCACGGGACTCGATCTCCACTTCATGAGCGTCATTGGCCCAATGAGGCTCATGGCTCAGTGATACTCGAAGCAGGACCTCCAAGCTCCCTGTCTACTTACTACACCAAACAACCTTTGTAACAGCAGATCTTCCGTTGTGGGAAACTTCTGCTTAAAGGCTGTAGCTGCATTCTGCTTCAATGATGTGCATACACTCCTGGCAGGAAGCGGCAGCTGCCAGCAGGTGGAGTAGTCCTTTTGGTTAGAAGTAGAGCATAAGATCAAAGGGTTATTTTAGCCAATCCTAGTTATGGTTATGTAACTAATATCCTATCTGCTTCTCTCGTAACATACGATGTAATCATGCTAAGTCAATAAAAGAGCCCTCAGGGCATTGCCAGTTGGCTCCGCTGGCTCGGACTTTCCGCTGTCGACTTCTTTGTTCTCTCTCTAAGGCAATTAGCCTTCCTTTGTTCCATGATCACCCACATTCTGCCAACTGAGGGACCTGGATATCTTACTCAGTTTGCATTATCTGAAGAGTTTGTTTGTTTGTTTGTTTATTTGATTTGTACCCCACCCATCTGGTCGACAAGACCACTCTAAGCAGCTAGACCACTAGTTCATTGGAGATGATGTCAAGGTCTACACGCACTGTCTCTTCCCCGCATTCCCTGCGGAGTGTTCTTCACTAGGGATCTGAATTCCTGTTAGCGCAAAACCTAGCACAACCAGCCCATCATTTTCTACACAATGGAAGAATGTACACAGTTCGAACATCCATAAAAGTTATGTTTTTTTTGACATGGTATTCAACTCCTTCCACTGTCCTGTCTGTTTCCAAACCCCAGGCCAAGCACTTAAATCCAGAACAGAGTTTCAAGAAAGTAGTATAATAAAGTTTGCAAGCAGAAGAATTCAGAGATATGACACACCTTCGCAAACCTGTTGCTTCCTGGCCTCTCTTTGTGCAGGTTGTACTCCAAAAGCCTCTTGCAGAGGTTTTCTACCACCTCAATTAAACGTATGTCTCTGCAGACAGAAAAGGGAGTATTTAGCTCACTAAATCTACAAGTCAGTTTACCAAAAGCTATTTCAGATATCATCTCTTCAAAGTTCTTAGTGAAGAGAACCAGTATTACATCAGCTGGCTGTCAAGAAAGGGACACTTTCAGCTCCATTCCTCAGACAACAACATCAATCTGAGCAGATATTGCAATTGGTGATGAGACTGTTCTCAGCACAAGCATCCACAAGTCTCTAAACAAGGACTCAGTTGGTTAACTGCCTGGAAATGTTACAGAACCACACAGTTGTTTCACATTGATTTCAATACATCAAATAAAACATACAAGTACTTTTGTAATTAACCAGGCAGTGCCATGCAAGCTTCTTTTTAGTTTATCAAAGTCTGTGAAATAAAAAATAGCAAACTTACGATTTTGTGTACTTGATTTTGGATGCTTTGCCATCCAAAAAGCCATACTTTGTGTCAATCACCTCCTTGGTCCTGCCAGTTTCATCAAATGAGGATTTCAGTTCCAAAGCCACATATTTGCACACTAGAAAGAGACAAGACTCAGACTGCTTAGTTAAATGTGGAGAAATTTCAGTTATTGATTCAACAAGAGGTAGATTGGGGTGGTTTAGTGTAAACTCAATAGCACCAACTGGAGACACTAAATGCATTAAAGTAACCATGGTCTTAAAAAATTTGGACCTCAACCTACAGTGGGATCTCTCAGGAAAATCACAGAAGAGATTCTGCTTAGGTTGAACCAAAGGCTTTAGAAAGAAAAGCTAACAAAACTTCATTGTTATTACATGGCATCAAGTCGCCTCCAACTTATGGTGAACCTATGAGTGACCTATAAAATATCCTCTCCTCAACAGCCCTGCCCAGCTCGTATCAACTCAAGTCTATAGCTTCCTTCAGGGAGTCAATCCATCTCATATTTGGTCTTCCTCTTTTCCTACTGCATTCAACTTTTTCTAGCATTATTGTCTTGTCCAAAGAATCTTGACTTCTCTTGATGTGACTGAAGTACAACAGTCTCAGTTTCATCATTTTTGCATCCAGATATAGTTCTGGCTGGACTCACAATGCATTATTTCATGGAAATTAATATTTTTCATGTGTTCTTAAAATGTAAAGTGTAATGTAAAGTGGTATCCTCTAGATTAGTGGTCACCAACCTTGGGCCTCCAGATGTTCTTGGACTACAACTCCCAGAAGCCTTCACCAACAACTCTGCTGGCCAGGATTTCTGGGAGTTGAAGTCCAAGAACATTTGGAGGCCCAAGGTTGGGGACCATTGCTCTAGATAGCACTTCTCTACATAATCGAAGAAGGGGCGCCATCTAAATGGATTGCTGGGACTGAGACTGCTGCTTCTAGAATTAGAAAGGTATTTTTTTCAGAGAATGCCCTTGCCAGCATGGCCAGTGGCCAAGCCAGTGAAAAACTCTGGGACTTGTCCAAAAATAAAACTTCCCTAAGGTCTGGTTGTTTCTCTGAGCAGTGGAAGGGTTGTTACAGAACACAACAAGGAGTCTTGTAGCACTCTGAAAACTCCCCTGTTTGAACATAAGCTTTCACACGCTACAGCGCACTTCACCAGATACATGAAGTGCTATTCAGATTTCAAATACAATGGTGCCTTGCATAACGATTGCCTCGTTAAACGACGAAACCGCTTTACGATGAAGTTTTTGCGATCGCTTTTGCGATCGCAAAACGATGTTCCTATGGGGAAAATTCGTTTAACGATGATTGGTTCCCTGCTTCGGGAACTGATTTTTCACTAAATGATGATTTAGAAATAGCTGATCGGCGGTTCTAAAATGGCCACCCGCTGTGCAAAATGGCTCCCCGCTGGGTTTTCAGGATGGATTCCCTGCTTTACAGGCAGCGAAAATGGCTGCCCCTATGGAGGATCTTCGCTGGGTGGTGAGTTTTCAGCCCACTGGAATGCATTGAACTGGTTTCAATGCATTTCAATGGGCTTTTTTGTTTTGCAAGACAATGTTTTCGTAAGACGGCGATTTTCGCAAAACGAATTAACATCTTCTTGTGAGGCACCACTGTATATATACAATACACAGATCAGGGTGGGTGGGTAGGTGGAGCCACAGACAGTGAAGTCAGAGGGAAATTAAATGCAGAAATTACCAACGGTGAGAACTGTGAATAACACCAATCACTCACAAAACTGGTATTGCTGATAACAAACATCTTAGCACTAGGCAAACCAATGAATACACATACGAGCTCTCATCTTATCCCTCAGAGGAGATTGTCACCCATAGAACTGATACAGATTATTCAAATGTTCAGACTGCTTTACATGCAACAACCCTATAAGGTTGGTGTGGGGAAAACTTTGTCACTCCAGTTATTCAGACTTCCATTCCCACAGTCCCTTATCTGGCCGAGACTTATGGGAGCTGAAATCCAAAACACTGGGGGACGGGTCTCAAGGATTCTCCATCCCTGCTGAAAAATAAGCACATACTCAAAATCCCAGGGCACCTAGTCATCTGAGAGGTTGTGGCCGACCTACAGCCACCTAATATACTCTTGTCAGAGGCTAGATTCCAACCAGGGATCTCACAAACTCTCAATGAATAGAATTTGAAAAAGCTGTCCATGCCAGTTAAAGGATTCTGGGATCTGGAAAGGTAAATCGCCCAAGCTCTGTGACTAGCTGTTCGGACTTCCTTAACTACTTTGCTGCACCACCCCTGCAAACCAAAGGAGCCACATTTGTCAGTAGCTATGCTATGACAAATCTTTCCTCATATGTTTTGAATGAAGTCTCTTTTCTAACCTTCCGAGTCTTAAAGTTAAAGGTTCCCTTTGACATTTAGTCGAGTCATGTCCAACTCTAGGGGGAAGTGCTCATCCCCGTTTCCAACCCATAGAGCCAGCGTTTGTCCGAAGACAGTTTCCGTGGTCATGTGGCCAGCATGACTAGACATGGAACGCCGTTACCTTCCCACCATGGTGGTACCTATTTATCTACTGAATTCAGTATCTTTTTTAATGGTTGGTGTGGGTTTTTCGGGCTCTTTGGCTGTGTTCTGAAAGTTGTGCTTCCTAATGTTTCACCAATCTCTGTGGCCAGCACCTTCAGAGGACAGCACTCTGTGCTCTGGTGTAGTTGGCTTGGGAGTGGAGTATTTATGGCTGTGAGATAGGCTTTTGTCTTTTTCTGTAGATGGGTGATTAGTGTGTCTTGTTGTGGGTGTATTGTTGTGATAAGAAGAGATTTTCTGTCAATGTGGTTGATAGGTGTCATTAGCTGGTCTTTTGTGTGTAGTGATCCCCAGTCCTTGTGGCAGAGTAGAGTTTGTGCACGCTGTATTTTTGAGAGCTGGGAGCCAAGTCTTGTTGAGATTCAAACTTTCCTCTTTTTTGTTGAGGTTCTGCTGGTGCTTGTGGATTTCAATGGCTTCCCTGTGCAGTGTGACGTAATGATTGCTGGTGTTGTCCAGTATTACAGTATTTTTGAAATAGAATTTCATGTCCAGTTTGTTTTAGGGCATGTTCAGCTACTGCTGATTTTTCTGGTTGTTTTAGTCTGCAGTGTCTTTCATATTCTTTGATTCTAGTGTGGATGCTTCGTTTTGTGGTTCCAATATATACCTGGCCACAACTGCAAGGTATCTGGTATACTCTCTTTTTTAACCTTCTGAGTCTTGGACACCTGTAAATTTGGTATGCACTTGGAAGCAGGGAAACATCCTCCCTGGGAAGTTTGGGCATGGAATACATTGCCACTCTTCAACATGGGAGACTCAACACTGATTTGCACAACACATGCATCGAGACATCTGGTGAAGGGGAGTCCACCCCCCATACTGTGGTCATGGAAGGAGGTGGTTTAATTCACTGCAGCAGAGCTGTCCTCACACAAAATGACTTAATTCCAAAGTTTTGTACTGTTAACTCCACAAATGCTTTGTCCACAGGCTTAATACCATCCCAGTGCCAAGTGGTGAGAACACTCACGTCATACATATCCTTTAAATAATCTGTGGCATCCGTGACTCCAGTCTGCCTAATCCCCAGCCAGTTTGGCCAACTTCGAAAGGTGATGGGAGCTGAAGTCCAACAACAATTATAGCTTTCACACCCGTTGCTACTAGCGTCTTTCATTTGCATTTGTTCCTCTTTTCTTATTTCCTTTATTCTTCTAGTTCCATTTTCAGTGACAGTCTGTGTTTCAGATCCTTTTTTTCACTCCCTTAACTTTCTTATTGTGAACACCCTGGACCATTGACAGTGAACCTTTTTGGGCCCGAGCACCCAAATTGGGGAGAAAAAAAAACACCAGCGGGCCATGGATGGTAGTGGCAGCGTAAGTGGCGGTGGTGGAAGTGTAAGTGGTGGCAGAAGGGGGAATCCTGGCCACGGAGGTGCCTCGAGACCCCACTCCAGATCCACCGTCAGTGCCAGCTGCTCCAGATCCTGGCCCACCGCCTGTTGGGACACCAGCCCCGCAGCTGCAGCCACCTTCTCAGGTTTGGGTGCGGGGGGGGGGAGCAGCGAGTAGAGTACTATCATAATAGATAACAGGATAGTACAATCATTTAACTCCTTCTCAAAAAGATCTGACTACCAGAGAGATCATAGCTTTGACTGTGGCATGCTGGCACTCTTACACTACTTATACTAATGCCCCACTCTTTTACTTCTTGGCTTGCCAACTTTCTTCTTATGATTTCCCGCTATCCGTAGAAGAAAACAAATAAGAGATCATGTCTCAAAATATGCAAAACCAAATCCTGCACTTTCATAATCCGGAATAAACCAAATGTATCCAAGGCCTACTAACTTTCTGCTATAACCCCTACAAAGCCTGCAAAATATATATTAGGCCAAGACATACCCGATTCATTCTAGTTTATCAAAATCAAATGTTTGGACTTTAGCATTTTGGTATTGACTAGATGGCTGTCAGTTTTTTTCCTTATCCTTCCCATCCCTTGATGGATGGTGCAGCATTTATTATTCAGAGATGAGAATCCTCTTTCTCTTTGCAATCATCCCCTACATGTTACTGTTACATACAGCACTGATGTTACCTGTCTGTCATGGGTTTGGAGGGAAAGTTCCATCCTATGGGGAGTGGAAGGCGGGACATCAGGAGGAGGGGCTGTACTGTATATATAGGTGAAGCCTGTGAAGAGAGCTAGTAGAAGAAGCAGCAGCTGGGAAGAAGAAGCTGGTGTGGGAGTCTGTGTGTCAGACAGGGTACTACTGTGTGTCAGTCAGTACCAACCTGATAGGTTCAGGTGTCTGTATGGTTAGCCAGAACTGATAGGTTCAGGGTCTGTGCTTCAAGTTAAGTGTTCTGTGTGAACCAAACTGTGTGCATGTATGAATGAGACTAAGCCACGTTACTATATCTTATTCACCTGATCATTTTATTTTCCCTGTGTGTTGTTTTAAATAAACCTTATTCTTTTATTTGTTGAAAATCCATCCCTGGTCTGTGTGACTTCTTATAGGGAATGGTTGGTGGCAGCTTAGTGAAACTGTGGCATATCCCAGTAGGTCTGGGTTTGTCACAGTTACCAATCTGGATTTCATTGTGCCTTGTACTATAATGCTCTCCATACCCTTCAACAAGCTTTCATCCATCTTTATTACATAACTGATTCAGTATATAACTCATAATGCTGTCAAGTTGTGTTGCTGCAACTGATAGGTACATGCAACGTCTCTCCAGGAGCTGCTCAGGCATGACTAAAACTGGAACAGATGCACTGGAACACAGGCAGTTTCAGCCATTTCCATTTTTAGTTCTTCTAGTGGCTCTTCTCCAACGCATGGTTCTGTCACAGTTTCACTCACATATTTTCAAAGGGAAATATATTTTTTAAGCCACTCTCTTCTCCAATTTCCTCTTCCAAATCTTCATGCAAACTGATGCCCAGATGCGCTGAACAATTCCAGATGCATGAACGATTCTTAATGGTCGTGCTGGTCAGAGAGAATGGGAGCTGTTGCCTGACACATCTGAAGCAAAATACTTTTTCTGTTACTCCCAACTGATGAAATCAGTATGTGTTTTAATTTATAAGATTACCTAATATTATTGTTACCTCCTAGAACTTTTATCTTAAGGTTTAAGGTTATTTAAGGTTATCTTAAGGTTTAAGGTTTCATACTCTTTCCTATAAAGAACGGTTTTCAAACTAGGCAGTGCATTATGCATAAAACAGCGACTAGTTTGTGGTTGCTAAATGAGTCAGATGGATGGGAAGGGAACTGAATCCATAATGACTGTCCCATCCCTAAAGCCAACTTCAAATGTGACTTCTTATTCACCTCTTTCACTAAAGTCAGTTCCACAAAAATACTGAAAAGGCTTAGAAAAGGGATAGACAATTCGTGATGTCCCAGACAGTGCTGGCCAGCAGCTCCCATTGCCTCTTCTCAGGATGATCAATAATGAGGGGGGTCAGGGGGGAGCTGTAGTACAACAATCTCACATTTCTTATTCCTAATTTAAAGCCACAAGGTTAAGGTATCCACTTTGTGTAATACCACAGATACTGCTGTATTGGTTCTGTGGGATTCTACTCCAATATTCTGAAAAGAGGCAACCACTGAAACATCTCTGGCTGTGATGCTGCGGGATAAAGTACAATGCACCTCAATAAAATAGGCAGGCTTTAGAGCAATCTGGAGAGGATTTGTCTCAATACATCAACCCAATATTCATCTAGGAGTTGCCAGTGGCCTCCCAAGACAAAGTTCTCAGCAAGAGCTCAACTTCCCTGGCATAACATGGTCTGTCTTGAACAGCTGTTGTAAGGGGTCATGGCGGTTCCTTGGTATTTTAAATAACACATACATAATAAACCATTTCATTACTCAAATCACTTGGCAGAGGACAGCATCCACCTTAAAGACTAGTACAAGGTGGTGGCGGCTGATTTTTGGCATCAGCTTTTGCAGACTGCAACACAGTTGTTCCTACAGATATAGAGCAATACCACAGTGGAACCAATGACCTGGAGGGGGGGGCGAGTGCCCCAACCCTGGAGGCATTCAAGAGGAACTTAGGCAACCACCTGGCAGATATCCTTTGCCTTGTATTCCTGCACAGAGCAGGGGGGCTGAACTTGATAGCCTTATGGGCCCCCCCTTCCAACTTCGCTGTTCTATGAGAATATCGCAGTACTTTCATGGTTCTAAGGAAAGGGGACACAGCCCACCACTGCTGATTCCGTCAGTATGGGGCCACGAGTATTTGTTGGTCGCCCTTCCGTGATCTTTGTTGCAAACCAGCCTGGAAAGAGGGCTGAGAAGTAGCAGCGCCGAGGCACCTCCGTTCCTACGGCGAGGCTGCCCTGGCAGACCGATCTTCCCCCTCGGCCGGTTCTGCCAGAGGCTACTGACCATCATCACACACACCCCCCACGTTGTGGCCACGGCCACCGGCTGCAACCTCCACGTCGGGAGGAGGAGGAAGCGCACGGACACCACACCGCTGGCTGCTGCACCTCCTCCTCCGTCCGGCTCCGGCTGCCGGGCGCGAAAACGGGTGCCAGATTAGGCTCTCGCCCGCCGTCCAGGCGCCGCCGCCACCCGACTCTCCCTCCCTCGGGGATCCCGAGGCTGCTTGCCGCTCGCGTCCTGGGCTGCAACCTCCACGTCGGGAGGAGGAGGAAGCGCACGGACACCACACCGCTGGCTGCTGCACCTCCTCCTCCGTCCGGCTCCGGCTGCCGGGCGCGAAAACGGGTGCCAGATTAGGCTCTCGCCCGCCGTCCAGGCGCCGCCGCCACCCGACTCTCCCTCCCTCGGGGATCCCGAGGCTGCTTGCCGCTCGCGTCCTGGCGTGGCGCC